GCTCGCTCTCCTCCCGCACCTCCCCCTGCTCGCTCTCCTCCCGCACCCCCTCCTGCTCGCTCTCCTCCCGCACCTTCCCCCTGCTCGCTTTCCTGCACCTCCCCCCGTTTGCTCTCCTCCTGCACCAGTTGGCCAGTGCCCCTCTTGAAATGCCTCAATTGAACTTGCCTCCACACCATTTCCATGTTGACTTTAAAGAAAAGTCTCCTGACCTCCTAAAATCAGCTTCTTCGCTCAAGCTTTGTCATGTGTCCTGATACCAGTTTTGTGTGGTTCAAGACCAAACTCTACTTTAGTACACCTCCAATGTTTTCTGACTGTGTAGTTATTGTTAATGCTCAGTATTAGTAACCAGTTATCAATTTCTGGTAGCTCTCAGTGTTGTTAAGTAGTAATTCAATAGTGTTGATGCTCAGCGTGTTATTAACTAGTAATTAGTTAGTGCTATTATCTGGTGATGCTTTAGTGTTAACACTCAGCAGTATTAACCAGTAAAGGTTGATCTTAATGCTCAATGTCATTATCAAGTAATCGGTTAGTGTTAATCCTTCATTTGTTAACCAGTAATTAGCTCGTGATGTTTTTCTGTTAGTCACCAGCAATAGATTAGTGTTTCTGCGCAGTATTGTTAACTTGTGTTTAGTGACTGTTACTGCTCAGTGTTATTAATTGTTTACAGTTAATGCACAATATTATTGTCAAGTAATCAGTTACTGTTGAAGCTCAATGTTAACCAGTAATCAGTTAGTGATGCCCTTCAGTGTTATTGATCAGTAATCGGTCAGGGCATTGCTAATTAGTAGTTCAAGAGTGTTAGTGCTCCGTGTTTGAATCAATTATAATTTGTGGTGATTAAGATACAATTAATAGTCTCAAAGGCTTTTGTGGCACTGTGGTAGTGTCCCTACCTCTAAGCCAGGAAGCCCGGTTCAAATCCCACCTGCTCTAGAGGTGCGTTATAACATCTCTGAAGAGGTTGATTTGAAAAACAAGTTGAATAAAAATTACAATAACGATCTAAAATTCTTATGGGACAGTGGTAGTGTCCTTACCTCTGAGCCAGGAAGCCCAATTCAAGCCGCAACTGCTCCAGATACTGTATAATAATATTTAATGCTAAGAATTAATGATCCCTCATTTGAAAATGGGCCAGGTCCAGCAGCAACTTGTAGTCTATGCCAGATACGCAGTAGTTATTTTTCCCGTTCTGTGAATGGGCCAGGTATTAGCAAGCCAGTCCCTGAGCCACTTACCAACTTTGTCTCCCCCTTGTGGCAGGATGTGCTGATGAGTTTGGCCAAGGCAGTGGCGAATGCGGCCGCCATGTTGGTCCTGAAGGCGAAGAATGTGGCCCAGGTGGCCGAAGACACGGTGCTGCAAAACCGGGTGATCGCTGCCGCCACACAGTGTGCCCTGTCTACCTCCCAGCTGGTCGCCTGTGCGAAGGTGAGTGCAGGGGCAGGAGGAAAGATCCCAGACTTCCTGGTCAATGGGTTCCAGTGCATCAATGGGGAAAACTGTGGTTTGCATCTTTGCAAATGGGTTTGATTTACATCAAGGCTATGTTATTTATTTCAAATTAATGTACTCACATGAATACAGCGAAAAGTTTACAAGTCACCACTTAACAGCACCATCTTAGTTACAACCTAGGTACAGAATCACGGTACAAAGCTGAAAAGTTAATCAAACAAAGTTTAATAAGTTAAATATTACAGTCCTTCTTACCAAAAAGTAGAAAAACAAAGCAAAGTTAACAGTTCAACGCCACAGTCCATAAGCGCTTAGCCATGCTGGGCTCACACTCCTCACAAGTGCTCACTACCCCACTTCGGTCTCAACCCTGCCTGGGCTGCCCTCTCTCGGTCCCAACGCATGGTTGGTGCTGGGTGTTATACCCTGACCTTTGACATTTGTCTGCTGAGGTCAGGCCAACCCAATTGAAATACATGGAGACCTTGGCTGGCTATGGGATTACTAGCAGGCCATATCCAGGCAATCCTGAATATGGCACCAGTTGGCGTTGTTGATCAGATGGGCCACTAGAAATGAAAGGGTGGAGTATTGTTTACCGCTCCTCTCCACCACCACCACCTCCTCCTCCACCCCCCACCAACCTCTCCATTGGAGGGAGGCACCTTCCCTCCTGCATTGGGTCACATTGCTATGTAACCCACCAGATTTGTCTAACTTCAGAAGAGCAGTGTCTATTCCTGAAATCTTGCATTGTCTACAGCTGATGAGGAGAAACAGTGACCAGTTACTAAGGGGAAAATTTACGGAGCATTGGAAATAGGCAGGTAAGTGGGAATAATTGGGAAAGTTCATTCCAAGAGGGGGCTGAATGGGTAAAGGGTGGCCAAGAGAAATGCTTGTCCATTGCGAGTCTGTCAGGTGTAGAAACTGGAATCCATTCTGAGCGTTGACTCTGAGCAACAGTTGAGACAGGAACCCTAACAACAAAAATAACCTAAACAGGCTGAATGGCCTCTTCTGTGCTGGAAGATCCTACGGCATCTGATGACTTGGGGTCAGAGCTTAGTCTTAAGTGTCCTGCAGGACGTGGAATTGGTTTAGAGGGGTATGGGCCAAATGCTGACAAATGGGACTAGATTAATTTAGGATATCTGGTCAGCATGGACGTGTTGGACCGAAGGGTCTGTTTCTGTGCTGTGTGACTCTCCATTTTTGGTGTTCCACCAATAACCATCCTGTGTGGTCCGGTGCAGGTGGTCAGTCCAACCATCAGCTCGCCCGTGTGCCAGGAGCAGCTGGTGGAGGCTGGGAAGCTGGTGGACCGCTCGGTCGAGGGCTGTGTCAAGGCCTGCCAGGCAGCTACGGAGGACACCGAGCTCCTGAAGCAGGTCAGCGCCGCGGCAAGCGTGGTTAGCCAGGCCCTCAACGACCTCCTCCAGCACGTGCGCCAGTACGCCAGCAGAGGGGAGCCCATTGGGCGCTACGACCAGGCGACTGACACCATCATGACTGTGACCGAGAGCATCTTCAGCTCCATGGGTGATGCAGGTAAGAGGGGAGTACCCTCGAAGGGTACGTGCAGTGCCTGAGAAAACCACTAGCGGAAAAATATCGATTGGCAGTGAGCCCTCGCACGTTGGTGGTAGGGTCTGGGTGCAGTGACTTTACTGGGTGCATGATGAGCAAAAGTAGGCCTCAGGCCTGGTCTGCCATTTTGAAAAGGTGCCCCTCTACCCTGAAGAGTTATACTAGACTCAAAACTTTAACTTTTTCTGTAGATACAGATGCTTCCAGAGTTCGAAGAATAGAATCACAGAATCCCTACAGTGTGGAAACGGTCCCTTCGGCCCAACAAGTCCACACTGACCCTCAGAGCTACCCAGATCTGTACCCCTAAACCCCACCTCCCTCAACACTACAGGCAATTTTCCCTGGCTTATCCACCTAGCCTGCGCTTCTTTGGACTGTGGGAGGAAACCGGAGCATCTGGAGGAAACCCACGCAGACACAGGGAGAATGTGCAAACTCCACACAGACAGTTGCCCGAGGGTGGAATCGAACCTGGGTCCCTGGTGCTGTGAGGCAGCATTGCTAATCACTGAGCCACCGTGCCACCCCTAGTTTGTCTAGCATCCGCCATGTTTGTTTCAGATTTCCAGAGCCTGCAGTATTCTGCTTTTCTTTTTGATGAGAATAATTATGCCTTTATCCTATTAATATGCAACATAATGTGGGCAATGGAAATCAGAAATTATGGACATTTGTGCGGGCGGGGGAGAGAGAGAGCAAGAGGGTTTACATATCAGGTGAAAGACCACTGACCTGAATGTTTCAAAGGAAGGATTTTGAGGCATTTTCAGGAGGTATTTGAAAATGATCACTCTGACCCAAGGAATCTGTTGCATTACGTATGCCTAAAGAGAGTAGTGCTGAATTGATGTTAGGTCTTTGGATTTGCGATAATTTAAATGAGGCCCCTTGCTCCACAGGAAATGTGGAATAGTAAAAGTGTGAAGTTTGAAAGGGGACACCACTTTCCAACATTGGTATGGGAATCATTGGGCAACTGACCATCAGTGTGGTTTCCAGAGTGGGCAGACACTCAGCTGACCAATCTCCTTGAGCGTTTTTTTTGAAAGGGAGTGGATCTCAAGTTAATGAGGGAAGACCCCGTGTGCTCAGAATTCTGGGAAGGTCATCAGTGAAGTCATAGAAACGTCGAAACTAGGGGCCCAAGTAGGCCATTTGGCCCCTCCAGCCTGCTCTCCTGTTCAATATGATCATCTGTCTCAATGACATTTTCCCATGTGCTTCCCTTGTGGCCTTTACAATCTAGAAATTTATCAATCTTTTTCTTAAATATATTCAGTGACTTGGGCTTTACAGCCTCCTGCGGTAGGGAATTCCATGTGTTCGAAGAAAGACAATTTTCCTCATCTCAGACCTAAATGGCCCGCCCCAGATACTGAGACAGTGTCCCCTGGTTCTGGACTCCCCTCATGATCTTGTGGTGTCACTCCGTTGTAAAAAAAGGTCAAGGAGATTGGTCAGCCGAGTGTTTGCCCATTTCAAAAACAACATTGATTAAAGTAGACTCCCTGACCTGGGGAAACACCCTCCTGGCATCTAGGCTGTCCACCTGTTTGGAATTTTATACGTTTCAATCAGATTCCCTCTCATCCTTTTAAACTCTAGTGAAAGGCCCAAGTCAAACTAATCTCTCCTTATAAGACAGCCCTGATAGTCCCTGGTTTCAGCCTAGTGAACCTCCCTCGATGGCAAATATATCCTTTCCGATGTCAGGAGAAACTGCAGAGAAAGCTTGTTTACGAGGATGATGACTTTATTTGGGGGCAGACAATGCCAAGATCTCCCTGGGCCCTTCTCTGCTCCTGGGGTACAGGAATATCTTGGATCGAGAATTCAGATTGAAGGGCAGTTTGGATCTAGGGAAGGAAGAGGTGTTGGCCCAGGAGCAAAGGCATGCGGATGGCATAGAAATAATGGTGGAAGTGTTTTTGTTTTGTTGGGGAGAGCGGGAAGCGGTGTGGGAATTACAGCTGATCGTGAGCTGAGGAGAGGTTTAATGAGGGGATTAACTTGGCTTCAAACTGGGGGGAGAGCGAAATAGTTGGCTGGGAGTCTGGGCATTGTTGAGTAACCACGAATTGGTATCTGTGGCCCACAGGGGAGATGGTTCGACAGGCGCGAGTCTTGGCCCAGGCCACGTCAGATTTGGTGAACGCCATGAGGTCAGACGCAGAGGCGGAGAGCGATGTCGATAACTCAAAGAAGCTACTAGCAGCTGCGAAGCTATTGGCTGATTCCACGGCGAGGATGGTGGAAGCTGCAAAGGTATTCAACTTCTTCCTGTCTAAGCCGTACTCCCCAGATCGTGGGAAACCTAAATCCAAGAAGTCTGTCACGGGATGAGAGTGTTGCTGGCCAGGTCAGCATCTATTGCCCAACTCATAGTCAACATGTTGGTCACATGTAGGCCAGACCAGGCAAGGATGGCAGTTTCCTTCCCTAAAGGACGTTGGTGGACCAGATCATAGAAATCACAGAATCCCTCCAGTATGGAAGCAGGCCATTCTTACCATCGAATCCACACCAACCCTTTGAAGACCATGCCACCCAGACCCGCCTCATCCCTCTATCCCTACATTTCCCATGGCTAATCTATTTCCTGTGCACATAGAATCCCTACAGTATGGAAACTTCGTCCCAACAAGTCCACACCGACCCTCAGAGCAGCCCACCCAGACCCATCCCCAGACACTGTGGGAAATTTAGCATAGCCAATCTACTTAACCTGCACGTCTTTGGACTGTGGGAGGAAACCGGAGCACCCGGAGGAAAGCCACGCAGACACGGGGAGAACGTGCAAACTCCACACAGGCAGTCACCCGAGGCTGGAATTGAACCCGGGTCCTGAGCTGAGCTACCGTGCCACAGATGGGTATTTCTGACAATCAACAATGGATTCATGGTCATCATTGGACTTTTAATTCAAATCCCACCCTCTGCCATGGTGGGATTCAAACCTAGGTCCCCGAACATTACTTGGGTCTCTGGATTAACAGTCCAGCAATAATACCACTGGGCCATCGCCTCCCAATTTTTAAAGCCATGCCAAACAAACTTCCCCTTCAGTCTAACCCTTTATTCTACATTTGGCTGTTCCAGCATATTTCTAGCTGGTATCCCGAATTCCACCCTCTTTAAACTCAATCTTGTCCAAAACTCTGTCTCCTCAAGCCCTGGCCCTTTATCACCTCGTGCTCACTGACCTATGCTGGCTCCTGGTTACGACCATAAAACAAACAAGCTCATTGAGGGTGTGCTACCATCCAATGAGATCATGGCTGATCCGATAATCCTCAACTCCACTCTTCCCTATAACCTTGATTCCCTTACTGACTAAAAACCTGTCTATCTCAACCTTGCGTTTACTTAATGACCCAGCCTCGACAGCCTTTTGCAGTAAAGAATTCCACAGATTTACTCCCCTCTGAGTGAAGAAATCTCTCTGTCCTTAAATGTATGACCCCATATTTTGAGATTATACCCTGTGGTCCTAGACTCTCCCACCAGGGGAAACAACCTTTCTGCATCTACTCTGTAAAGTCCCCGAAGAATCTGACATGTTTTAATAAGGTCTCCTCTCATTCTTTGACATTCCAATGAGTACAGGCCCGATCTACTCAATCTCTCCTCATGAGACAGTCCTTCCATGTGGTATCAACTTTCTCTGCATTACCTCCAATGTTAGTGTATCTTTCCTGTTGAGATTAATTATCCTATTAGTCACAGAATTACAGGCATGATCTGACCAGTGCCTTATCATTATCTTCTTTGGCAGATGGTTGAGATTGGCCTCCATTGTTTTATTACTTTTGTATCCCACTCCCTTTGAAACACAGGCCAACTTTGAGTAGGTGTGAGTGGAGAAGCCTTACCTTTCAGTGTCGCAGGCTGTGAATGCCAGAATATCAATCTATATATCGTTTCTCAGTGGTTTCGCCCAGCTTATCACATTTCCCCTGACTCCCGGTGTGTTTACAGTCTGCTGCCAAGCTAACTCATTGGGTTTGTGTGCTGTTAACTGGCACAGTGGGTGGAGTTGGACTTTACCCGGTGTTGTGGTCTGGCCAAAGCAGTCCTTTCAACGTCCCGAATGAATCTCCACGAGAGAAAAGAAAACGTAATTCATTCCTTAGTGTTCCAACTCCTGCTGGCTGCGGGACTGGTAGATTGTAATACTGGACGGAGCTACCAGTCAACGCCCCGGGGCCGCTTTGAAATTGAATTCGACTCATCCAATAATTAACGAGCTGGTGCTTGGAAAAATGACCACAAAGTCGACTGGGCGACAGCGAAAATGATGGCACTGCATGTCCTTCAAGGCAGGGTGATCCTACCCACTGGCACATGACACATGGTGCCCCCTACCCCATTCCAGGAGACAGGAGATTGGCACTGGCTATTGCCTTGCCTGGGGTACACATGTTCCGGTGCAGGAGAAGGCTATTTGGTCCATTTGTGCCTGTGCCTCATTACTCTCCCCCTCATTACTTCTAATTCTCTCGTTCTCAGTCCGTTGCTTCCTGCCCCTCCTGATTTCTGAGCACCTTGATCAAATGTCTCAGCCTGCTCTTCTCCGGACAAATAAATTCCTTGTTATAACTTCAGTTTAGATTGCAGCAGTTCTGCAGTTCTCAGATTCTGAGAGGAGGCGGGGCCGGTCTCTGCAATCCCATGTTTTAAATTTCCCGCTGGCTCCGATCGAGGTCTGTCACAGCTCATTTGGTTTAGAGTGAAGCAGAGGCGAATGGTAACTAAGGGAGTGAAGAGATCAAATGTGAGGTTGGTTCGTGGGTCACTGTTGCTGTGGTTCCAGGCAGGCTTTTGAACATCTGGGCCAGTTTATGTGGAGACGATGGCCTAGTGGTATTATCACTGGACTGTTAATCTAGAGACCCAGACAATGTTCTGGGGACCCAGGTTCGAATCCCGCCACGGCAGATGGTGGAATTTGAATTCAGTAGACAATCTAGAATTAAGAATCTAATGATGACTGTGAATCCATTGTTGATCGTCAGGAAAAATCCATCTGGTTCACTAATACCCTTTAGGGAAGGAAACTGCCATCCTTACCTGATCTGGCCTACATGTGAATCCAGACCCACAGCAATGTGGTTGACTCTGAACTGCCCTCTGGGCAATTAGGGATGGGCAATAAATGCTGCCTAGTTAGTGATGTCCTCATCCCGTGAATGAATAGTAAAAAAAAGTGACTGATGGAATGTGTTTCTGGGCTGGATTGTGGATACAGAGTAAACTGATAATAACCTCACATTTTGTGAGCAGTGACAGGCTTGAACTGAGCTTACTGCATCGTTTGCCTCTTAGTTTCCTTAACAAGTGCTGAAGTTTGAACCACTGATATTGTGACACATGTAATGTAGTAAGGGTCATTGAACAGAATAGAAGAAACCTCAGCAACAGCTCACCAGAACAGCTGTCTGTGGCATGGGTGGGATGGACATCAGTGCCCACCCTCGTCTGTAGCCTGACCCCCTCCTGCCCTCACCGACTGCCCATGGCGCCCCTTTCCCTGTTTCATGGGTGAGTGCCCCAGCTGGGTTGCTCATTTTTATTTTGCCATGGCAATGTTCCAAAGCAAAGGAGACCATTCAGCCCCTCCACTGTGTTGTGGTAATCAGTCAGATCCTGGCTAATTTGTACCTGAACTCCAGTTTGGGGAGCGGTGGCATTGTCACTGTTCGTGTTAGCCAGAACTGTGGGCTGGGAGCGCAGGTTCGAATCCCGCCACGGCAGCTGGTAAAATTTGAATTCAATAAAAATCCAGAATTAAAACAGTATCATCGATGTTAGTGATAGGGTATCTGCTGTTGGGCTGACATGTGATGTAGTGGCCGGTTCAAGACTTAGACTCCCTACGGTGTGGAAACAGGCCCTTCGGCCCAACAGCTCCATACTGACTCTCACAGCATCCCACCCACACCCATCCCCATAAACCACCTAATCTACACATCCCTGAAAACTGTGGGCAATTTAGCATGGCCAATCCACCTAACCTGCACATCTATGGACTGTGGGAAGTAAACCAGAGCACCCGGAAGAAACCCACGCAGACACAGGGAGAATGTGCAAACTCCACACAGACAGTTACCTGAGGCTGGAATTGAACCCGGGTTCCTGGTGCTGTGAGGCAGCAGTGCCAACCACTGAGCCACCGTGCCACCCTAATACTAATTTCCTACAGTTCTTCCTTCCTAAAAGACCCTTGCTTCCCAACTCCAAATGTTAATTCTGTTTTTCTCTCTCCATGGGTGCTGCCAGACCTGTCAGGTTTCTCCAGCACTTTCTGCTTCCGTTTCCGATCTCCAGCATCTGCAGTATGTTTACTTTTTTTGGATCACAGCGATCGTGTGATTTTTAGTCCCGTGAGGAAATTCTCCTTAACTCTGACAGTCACCATTTGACAGTGGTCACAAAGCCAGATGGACACTCCTGGTCTGTTCCATGTGCTTTTTCAAGCTCACTTTTGTAGTGAGAGTGGAGAATAATCCCCGCCAATCCCTTCAAACGCAGAAGTATTTGTGAGGAAATTGAACTCTTTGTCTGGTACTTATTAAATAACTTGGTGCCTTTCGAGAAAGTGAAAGAAGTTTATTTTGCTTTCTGAAAGTTACCTTGACTTCTTATTGTGTTTGTACACAAAGGCACTGAGGGAACTAAATTTCTCCCAATTGCAAGCAAATTACTCATTGCAAGGTCTTTTGCTTAAATTTGCAAAGCTTTTGTTATTTTGAGCAGCTTGCTTTCTAGGGAAGATCAAGATCTCTGTGAAAGAGTGGTCGATTGTTTAATTTGACAGCTGATATCCTGCCTTGTGCAGAATTCAAACAAAACCTGAGAGTCGCATAAGCAAGCTTGATTCCAATTTAGTGTTGGCAGGAGCACAATGGCGTCGGGAATTTCTTTGAAATCCTGTTGCTGGTTCCATCAGTTTATCCTGACTGTTTCCCTGTCATAGAGTCATACAGCATGGAAACAGACCCTTCAGTCCAAACAGTCCATGCTGACCATGATCCCAAACTAATCTAGTCCCACCTGCCTGCTCCTGGCCCATATTCTTCCAAACACTTTTTATTCATGTACTTATCCAAATGTCTTTTAAACATTGTAACTGTACCTGCATCCACCACTTTCACTTCCACACATGAACTACTCTCTGCGTAAAGAAAAAAAATTGCCCTTCTTAACTTTATTAAAAATCTTTCCCCTCTCACCTTAAAAGTATGCTCCCTAGTCTTGAAATGCCC